AATTCCCCATTATCTTTTCTGTTAATTCTACTTTGCAATTAAATAAATTAAGATCACAAAAGGGCGTTGATGAATATCGGTAGACTTACTAAAAAATTTTAAGTCGGTTGATATTATGCAAACCTTGTACGGGGAATGAAATAGTCCACCAACGAGCTTCGTAATTTACGGTTTTAGATTGTTTGTATTTTGATGTCTGTCTAATCTCTAGTGAGAAGCAAAACATAAAATTTCTTTAGGATTCATCTATTCGACCATTCACAAGTCACTTTGTAAAAAAGATGTAGATAGATGTCTTGACATAATGAATGTTCACTATATATGATTAAATGGAAATGTTGACTGTATTTTAAACAGTGTGGGGTCTTTTATAAAAAAAGAAAAAATCACTTAAATTTCTAAGGGGTTGTTCTTTTCGTATTTCAGTTTTTAGTTTTAAATTCATTTTGGGTTTTGTGTTTTGAGTATTCATTTTGAAATTGTTGAAAACGCGTTCTTTTTATCATTTTGAAAAATTATTTTTAAAAATAAAAAAAAATTAAGTTTTGACTTGATTTTAACTGAAACAGCCAAAACGACTTTTTTTGCGTTTTCTTTGTAAATTTTAAATTCGTTTTTGAAAATTCATTTCTAAAAATATGTAAGTAACGTATTTTCAGTGTTTTGGAAAACTGAAAACATGAAAGAGAACAAGTCCTTAAGTATTTGGGTTTGGAGTTGAAATTTCAAATTTGATTCCTCCTTTATGTTTTTTTTCAAACTTTATCAGTGCTCGAAAGTCACTTTATTATATTATACCCGTGGAAATTTGCAGAGTGAGATCCAATCCTTCAAATACAGAATATATAAGATTCAGCTAAGCCTTATTTGAGCCTAACTTGTAACATCTTGAATTTCGTTCTACTTAATCCAAAAACAAAAATTAAAAAAATAACTTAAAAGATTAGACACACATCAATTTCAAACTGCGTCGCGTCAAAATACAGCATGACAATACTAAAAAAATAATTTTTATATCAAAACCGAACACTATAAAACTTGGCCGAACTGTTTGACTCTATTTGGCCAGGCACGGGCTATACAAGGTCTCGGCTTTATAATGGCCCGCACTGCTAAAAGTTGCAGGCCATCTTACTATATATCAGTCGTTAAGGTAGATGGCCACACAACTGTTTCAGCA